TCACCTTCCCGCGGCTCCCGGGGAAATGGCCCTTCTCCCTGTCAGAGCAGCAGCTGGACGCCCGGCGGCGGGGCCTGGAGGAGTACCTGGAGAAAGGTACTGGGGCCCGGGTGTTCCCCGCGGGGAGTATCTGAGTTACTCGACCCCGCCGTCCTCCTGCCGCTGGGGGGGATTCGGGCCGGGTCAGGCTTCGTGCCTGGACACCCGATCCCACCCAGAAAGCGCCCGCTTGGAGAAGGCTTTTCCGGGCTGGAGATCCCACCCTGCTGTCACACCACCCGCAGAACAGGCTCTTGTTGTTTCCGTGTCGCCTCCGGGGTGGTGCTGGGAGGGGAGAGGGAGGGCTCCCCCTTCCCCGGGCACCCCCCCGCTAACCTGCGCTCTGTCCCACAGTGTGCTCCATCCGCGTCATCGGGGAGAGCGACATCATGCAGGAGTTCCTGTCCGAGTCGGACGAGGTAGGCACACGGGCACCGGCGCTCTGCCGCGGCCGCACGCGCTTGGGAAAAGTGGAGCAGAGGCCCGAGGGGTTCCCACCCCGAGGGGTTCCCAGCCCAGACCTCAGCCGGGCGAACACCAACCCACGGCAGAAGCCCCACGGCTGCACTTTGCTGTCGGGATCACACAGAGGAAACCTTTCCCCTGCGGCCGCAGCTCGGGGGCGCACGCAGAGCAGAGCCCCCGAGGTGTCCCCTGGCCAGGGCAGACCCCCCAAAACACCCGCGTTTGCTGCCGTCCTGCTGGGCTCTGGGCTGGCAGCAGCCCGGCTCCGCGGCGCCCCGGTGTCTGTGTGTGAGGCAGCTCTGGGCGCCAGCCCTGTGACTCGCCCTGCCCGGAGCCCAGCCGCAGCACCCAGCTGCTCTTCTCCCGACCTTTCCGCGCGCGTGGAGCCGCCGTGTCCCGGAGCTGCCGCTCGCTCTTGGCCGGCAAACCCGTGAATGGAAAATCCTCCCCCGCCAGCCTCCTGCCTCAGAGCAGAGCTCACACCTTCCGCCCTTCAGAATTTCTCCGGCGCAGACTGGAATGGGATTCTTGAGGCTTGTGGAGCAGCTGGTCATTAGAAGCGACCATTTTAATTAGGCAGCGCGAGGCAGTAAACGGTCCCCGGGGCTCAGGCTGCACGATGCCCATTCCTGTCCTCTCCTCTCCTTCAGAATTACAACGGCGTCTCGGACGTGGAGCTCCGCGTGGCGTTACCGGACATAACGACGGTGACAGTCAGAGTCAAGAAGAACAGCACTACAGACCAGGTGTACCAGGTGAGCTGCTCTGTGCCTGGACTGGAGGGTTGACCCAGTGCGGCCGTTAACCCGCGCCCCGCGGGCGCCCGCTCGCTCCTCTCGCGCCGGCGGGGTCGGTGACGCGGCTCTGCTGTAGCTGAGGCCGGGGGCACTGGAAAACCCGAACCCTGCGCCGTGCTGAAGCAGCGATTTCGCTGCAGGCTTGGCCGCGAGGACACGGTCATCGCTGCATTAATTTTCCCTGATAATATCTCGAAGGCGGCGGGTGGCTCTAAGCACGAACAGCCCCTGCGTCGTGGCGGCGGCCGAGGCGGCTCCACGAGCCACCC